TGATTAGTAAGGGTTTCAAAAGCATTCTTCACTTTGATGATCATGTTGTTTTTAACATTAAAAAAAGAGTAAGCTATTCGATATAAATATAAACAATTCGTAATAACTAACCTCTCAAAATAGATGAAGAATCAAATAGTAATGTTTTCTTGATCAATGAATGAAGAAAATGGATGAAATGAGGGTTTGTTGAAGAAGATATTTCTTTGATGTGAAAATAGTGTTTTTTACTTCTTTTATCTTTTCTGTTTAAGTAAATTCATATTATACAATAGAATATACATATATAAAATGATTATAATATATAAATTTAATATATCCGTGATTATAATATATAAATTGAACGAATCAAATCATAATATTAATTGGATTGGAAAGCTAGCATTAAATGCTCCTAAAAAGGGGACATGAAGGGTAAATTGAACATTTCCCACAAAAAGTGACATTTTTGATAAAATTATGTGCACATGCAAATTTTTTGTGCATTTAAAAAAAAGTGACATTTTTTATAATTCCCCTAAATAAAATGTATAAATGACTTTTCTAAAGTCAACTTTATTTGTCAAATCAGAATTCATTTAGAGACAATCTTTGACATCTCTTGCAATTTTTGTGGTCGCATCAATTTTTGTCGGTTTCAAAATTCGTCCATGAAGGGGACGTACGTGTCATGTTTTATAAAATTCCAATTTTCCATCTTTGAAATAATTTAAAGATATTTACTTTGTAAACTTCTGGGCAACTTCACTCAAATTTTTTGAACATTAATTATGTTAATTGCAAAGAATAACATTCTTTCAAAATTTGGTCATGGGTGTTGAGAAGTTTATTGTTGTAATACATAATTCATATAGAGTGAAACACATGTATATTGAAAAAGCAAGCCTATGTAGGAGTGGGGTGAGAGGAGCGAAGCGGAGAACAACAATCGAAATAGGGTAGAACAACTATAATTGTTGCATAATTGTCGCATAATTGTCTCATATTTACGACAACGTTTTCTGTCCGTTACAAAAAGCAATTTTTGTTGTGATTTTTTCTCCATTTTTGGAATTTTTAACAACGAATGTTCATTTTCACAGAAAGTAGACATTCTACATCACAAACACTTTCTTGCAAAAAGTAAAAGTTTATCCCCACTGAAACTTTTGGTGCCTACTATAATTTTTTGGCCACAATTTTTATTATTTTTCGTCCATATTGACATATTACGATAATTTTTTTCTTCTTATATTTTTGGTACTTATTTTTTCACCACAATATTTTCAGTAAACTTTAAAAATGTCTATGACTAAATCACAATTGTCTCAACTTTTTGTACGCTCAACAAGATGCACCAACTTCGGGATGCTAAACTCCTTAGCCCACAAGGTTTCGAGACAGAGCGCCTATCATTTTTCACTTAAATTCTCCACATTTTTACTGAGAATTTATTCTATTCTAGGCTAGAGCCCCGTTGTCAACTCGAGGTCGTCGTCACCTACAATTTATTCTTTGATATATCAAATTTCAATCAATGCAGCGCATGCCTTCATACAGCAAAATATCTTATCACCAAATCATTATTTTGTTGCAGTGTAGGCTATGATGACAACCAATCTTATGGGGCTATAAAAATATGGGCTTCTGGCACAAACACTATTATGCAATCGCCTAATAAAGGGAAAATTTCACAACTTACAAGAGTTTTAGACTTTTCATTTCAAAATTAAGATTTACGAGTTTCCTTCTTCTTCTTCTTCTTCTTCTTCTTCTTCTTCTTCTTTTTTTTTTCAAAAATCATATAATAAATAAAATTTTAAATATTAATAATTATATTACAATATTATTATAAAATTAAATCAATCTATACACCCCAACCCAACCTCAACCCCAACCCCAACCCCATCTACCCCATCCTAATTTCAAAACCCTAAATCTCTCTAATTATTCTCTTTCTATATGTTCTTTCTACTGGTGGCGACACTCTCTTCCTCTCGTGATTTTCACAGCTCTAACTAATTATCCTTATCTCTCCATTGGCGACATCACACACTCTCTCTCTCAATTTTCACAATAGTTTCGTAGCTGCTGTTTGTAGAAATGTAGACACTGTTGGAGTAATGTTGGATTTGGGTTTGTAGATTAGTGCTTTGCTGCATTAGTGGTTTTGTATATTAGCGTCGAATTCATGTTTGTAGATTAGTGGTTTTGCTGCAACAGCGTTGGATTAGGGGTTAGTAGTTGTTTTGATGTTGGATTTCGTACACAACCTTGGTGGCATTAGCTTTAGTGTGGTAGCGATCCTTCGATTTTGGTTTGTTAGGTTACGTCTACGTTGGTGGTGGTGCAAACGGTGGTGGTGAGGTGATGATGGTGGTCACAAGTGGTATTGGTGGTGGAGGTAGCGATGGTGGTTAGGTGGAAGAGGTGGTGGTTTTGATGTTGAAAATAGCAGTTTGGTGGTGGCGATGGCTGCTGTGGTGAGATGACGCTACTTTCACTTTGTGCCATGGTGGATTGGGGGTTGGCTAGGATAGGTGATGAGATTAAGAGCATTTGTGACCAATTATTGAGATTGTGATCAATAAATAATATGTAACCGATAACTTGTGACTAATAAATAATATGTGATCTAAAAATTTGGATTGTAACTTATAAATTTTTTGATTTGTAATGGATAAATAAATTGTGACTTATAAAATAAATTGTGACCGAGAAATAATTTGTAATCTATAAAATTTTTGACTTATGACCGAGAAATATTTTAAGCAATTAATTCAGTAATTTGTAACCAAATTGTATAAATTTGTGACCTTAATATATTTTAATTAATAAAATTATATTTAATTAATTATTTCATAAATAAAATTAATTTTCATATATAAAAGATTAAGTATGACCTATTTCAAAACTAATAAACAATGTTTAAAACTTCAAAAATTAGATATTATTTAAATTTTATTTATGAAATAATTAATTAAAAATATTAAGGTCACAATTTTATAATATTTAATTATAAATTATCAAATTAATTGTTCACGAATTATTTTTCGATTACGAATCAAAAGTTTTATGGATCACAAATTATTTCACAGTCATAAATTAATAATTTTGTAAATCACAATTTATTCATCAGTCACAAATAAAATTTTTTATATATCACAATTTATTTACAATCAGAAAATAAAAAAATAAAATAAAATTATAGGTCAATTTATTTATCAATTACAATCACAAATTTTATAATTCACAACTTATTTCGCAGTAATAAATTATCAAATTAATTGGTCACAAGTTATTTCTCGTTTACAAATTATTAAACTATGAGTCAAGATCACATATTTTAGGTCGCATGTTATTTATTTGTCACAAATAAACTAATTTATCGATCACAATCAACTAAATAATTGGTTACAACACCCCCACGCCACCACCAAGACTACGACGACGACAACCATCACAACCACCACTGCTACTAACATCACCACCATCTCACCACTGTTGCCAACGTCACCACCATCTCACACCACTGTTGCCAACATCACAACAACCACCATGCAAACACAGCTAAAAAATCAAATTCAAAATTATCATATGAGTGCCACGACTAACACCACCACAACCACAACCACAACCACTTGCAAACCACTAACAAACAGCAATCACCAACAAAAACCACCCCCAAATTCCTAATAAGCAAACAGGAGAAGGAAGAAAAACCCCAACAGTTCACTGTCAAAAACCACAAATACAAACATCTTCGACGCTCAACCACAAACCACAAACTTAGTCGGCTATCAACTACAACCTACGGCACACCTCCTTCACCTCTACAAGAGAAACAGATGTAGAAGTGAAATAAATGGGCACCAACACAAGGAGCAGAAGAGATGTGCACGCTCCTAGGTGAGGTGTTGGTGCGACGCTCACAGGCGTTGGTGCTGTACCTGTAGCCAGGCGCACAAGGGGCTAGTGTTGCGTTACCTCGCGCATGAGCACCGTAAAGAGTTGCCGGGTTGGGTGGAGTG